ACACCACTACCCGCATATGAATCCATCAATTCCAAAGGAGTGATTGAAGGAGGAACAATGAATGGTCAGCCTATTGCTTCATTGGCAGACCTGTGGTGAATTTCCAACCCTTCAAGGCTGTTGGCGAGGCCCAGCACATGGGAGAGAGTACAGGTAACTGAAGCAGAAATAAACAAGTGGGACTACCTCAAACTAAAATGCTTCTGCGCAGCAAAGAGAGCCCATGGGGCATAGCTCTTGCTGAAAACCACTCTTGGTTCCAGAGCAGGGAAAATTCCTTCCTGCCCACCTTGGGAGGGATGGGCTCCCAGGGGCCGAACACCCAGGAGTCGAGGATGTTAATAGGGCCAGATGCAGGTGTGGTAGGTGGTCACGAAATTTTCCGGTCCCTTCCCCTCTCCTGGTCCTGTGACCGTCTCCACAGCCAACAACCAGTCATCCTACGTGCTGGAGTTCACAACACGCTTTCACATACATGAGCCCATGTCCAGCCTCACAGCAATGCCTTGCAGGTAGGCATGGGTGGGAGGCAGCTTGACCTGGTGAAAGGATTCAGGTTGTAAAGTCCTCAGACCTGGTTCAGGTCCCAGCTCCGCCACTTACTAACCTTTAGACTTTAGGAAATTTACTAAACTTCTCTGAATCTGGGCTTCCGTTGTCTATAAAATGGGGATAAGAATAGTCCCTTCATCATAGGGTGTTGTGGGAATTTGTGTTAAAATTAGGTATGCCTTAAGCCATGATGATAGAGTCTGTTGCCCATTGGATACATGACTCACCCAAGGTCATCCAGCTCGTAAGTGGCAGATCTGGGGCTCACACTCAGTTCTCCTGGTCCCGCCTCAGGGACAGTACCAGGAGGTGCTTATTATATATTCCAGCCAAGCTGTATAGGATTGGAAAAGGGACTCAGGCCGTCCTGCAGCTTTTATCATGCTTCTCAGGAACAGGAGAGGGCATCAAGCTAGGAAGTAGTCTGGCACTCAGAGGAGGCAGCGTGGGTGCAGGGCAGGTGGAAGGAAGCAGGGACTCCCTATGATGCGCTTGCATCCTTTCCAGTCCCCCGCTGCCCAAGGCCTCCTTCCTGCTAGTCTTCTGCCTCGTGCTGGAACTTTCCAGTCTCTTGGCGATTTCCCTAGATGAATGCACCGCACCTCAAATAAGCTATTTGCCTAAATGATAGGATGCTCTTGGTTCATCCAATGAATGAATATTTATGAAGTCTCTACAAAACCCTATAATCAGGGCTGGAGGGCGGAGGTGACAGACGAAAAAAGATCTGGGCCCGCAAGGGTCTTCCAATATAGCAATGGATCCAGGAAGCTTTACCGGGTGGCCGTATTGCTGTCCCCTCCACCTAATTCCTGGTTCAGACATGCTAAGTTTCTTTTAAAATCAGTGTCAGTCCCTCTGTTTAACTTGCATGCAGTGGGTGGAGTTTGGCTTCTTTTAGTCCCCAGGGGCTGTCTGGCTGGGTGGGTTTTGAGAGAGCCAAGAGCAAATAGCTATTTAACATTCCCTGGGAGAGGGAAGAATGAATCATAGGTTGTCTTGGGCAGTGCGTGCCAACTGGCCCTGTATCATACCAATCCTCGGCAGTGGTAGACTACCAGAGAAGAGATCACTGCAGCCTCTACGCCCCTGGCTCTCAGGCCCTACCCAGAAGGCAGCTGGTGTTCTGGGAAGGCAAGATGTCAGGCAGAAGCTCAGATGCTTTTAGCCTCCTATTGGAGTCTTCTTGAGCCTATGATCTCCTTTGTTATAGGTTATCACCTCTATGGGATGTGACAAATTTGAGAATGTGCTATTTTCAAGGCCTCTTTGGCCCACTTTCTTTTTCTTTTCCCCCTTAAAAAGAAATGAGTCATTTTATTATCAAACAAGTAATACACATCTAAACAATTTGGAAAAGGGAAAATGTAAAAAGAATTTTAAAAAACCATATTTAGACCCACCACCCAAAATCAACCACAAGTTTTGGTATATTTTATTTGAATCCTTTTTATAATATCATTTAGTAAAGACCCCCTCCCCTTTTCCCTTGACCTGTACCCACTGCCCCAGGGCAATTCTTGAGTATAGGAGAGAGGCCGTGGGTCAGATTTTGCCACCAGTGCCACCAAACCCCCAGAGAGGCCCTGAGACTGGCTTTGGCCCAGGGAGTGGGTCAAAAGTCACTGCCTCCTTATCAAAATATTAGCAAAGGCCTGAGATGCTTAATCACCACGCTGAGCTGATAGCATCTTTGCCTCCCGGTGTGACAGATGTCCGGGAGGAGGGGAGGGAACCGAGGGCGATGTGAATATCTATCTCCAGCCCACAATCCCTTGGGAGGGGTAAAGGAGAGGATGCCCTCAACCGCTTTTAGCGCAGGACCTGACCCATAGTAAGCGCTCGGTAGGTGGGAGCAGCAATTATTTGTGTTATCAATTATCATTAAAGAAAATCAACTGCTACTGAGGGGCGCTTTACTCTGGCTACATCTAGAAAGGGTTTGAAGCCCATCGTTTCAAATCCGAGTCCATGTCACACCCCACAAAGGTGACAATAAAGATAAAAAGGAAAGATGGGGTTTGGTGCCAGGCAATCTATAAAACAGAGTGCTGGACAGCTATTAAAACCATGCGAGTTGCTGTATTTATTGCCAGTATTTCGACTGCCGTGTTTAAGTGGTCAGGTGTGAAGCCAAGGGGACCTGTGAGCTTCTGTGAATCACGTGCTCCCAGAGCCTCCGTTCCCTCTCTGTCATCCCGGGGGTTGGGGACCCCTGCCTTACAGCACTATCCTCCCTGTGGACTTGTTGAATGATTCTATGAGCGCTGGTGTCCCCAAGTCTGGCAATTGAATGAGAATCTCGGGAATAATGATGCAAATACAAATCCCTGTAGCTCCAGCCAGCCCTCAGGCAGGTCTAATGCGGTGGACGGCAAACCTGCTTCGGGGAACCGTGGAGTCAAGGTTTGTAAATGAGCTTAGCACGGTTCTTGGCATTAGTAAGTGCTCAGTAAATGAGAACGATTGCTGTTACCAGCAGCCTCTGAGCTGTCCTTGAGCTCCCTATTCCTCACATCTGTTGGCGGACTTCATAATTAAGTCTAAATCCATCCAGTGCTCACCATGTCTACTGCCACAACCCTAGTTACTCTAGCGCGTGCCATGTGGATTCCTGCACTTGGTTTCCTTGTTTCCTCACTTGGTACCCCCTAGTCTAGTCCTCACCACGCAGCCACAGTAATCCTGTTTTTCAAATGGCTAAAATCAGATCTTGACACTTAAAACGAAATCCAAACCCTTCTCCGTGATTTGCAAGATCTAGCTCCTGCCTGTCTCTACAACTGTATCTTGATGTCTCACTCAGCTCCAGCCACACTAGCCTTCTTGCTGTTCCTAAGACAGACCAAACTTGTTCTCACCTCAGGACCTTTGCACTTGCTGTTTCCTCTGCTGGATCCAGTCCAAGCCCGGCCCGTTCTCATCACTCAAGACTCAGTTCAAATGTCACTTCCTCCAAGAAGGTTTTTATGACCACCTTTTCAAATGTTGCCCCGACATATTGCATTTTCTTCTTTTAAAATTTTTTATTTTTTAAAAAAATGTTATTGGAGTATAGTTGATTTACAATGTTGTGTTAGTTTCAGGTGTACAGCAAAGTGAATCAGTTATACATATACGTGTATCCACTCTTTTTTAGATTCTTTTCTAAAAAACGTTGTGTTAGTTTCAGGTGTACAGCAAAGTGAATCAGTTATACATATACATGTATCCACTCTTTTTTCGATTCTTTTCCCATATAGGCCATTACAGAGTATTGAGTAGAGTTCCCTGTGCTATACAGCAGGTCCTTATTAGTTATCTATTTTATATATAGTAGTGTGTATATGTTAATCCCAACCTCCTAATTTATCCCTCCCCTGCCCCACCTTTCCCCTTTGGTAACTATAAGTTTGTTTTCTACATCTGTGACTCTATTTGCATTGTTTTCTTTACAGCAGCGGTCCCCAACCTTTTTGGCACCAGGGACCGGTTTCGTGGAGGACAATTTTTACGTGGACAAGGGCGGGGGAAGGTTTCGGGATGATTCAAGCACATTACATTTATTGTGCACTTTATTTCTATTATTATTACATCAGCCCCACCTGAGATCATCAGGCATTACATCCCGGGGGTTGGGGACCCCTGCCTTACAGCACTATCTGAAACGAACTTTTAAATTTATTTTACTTTTATTGGTTTATGGCCTGATAACTCCAGTGAGGAAGAGGCCTTGTCTATTTTGTTCATTTTTATTCTCAGTGCCTAGAGAAAGGGCCTGGAAAATATTTATGGATATTATAAATATCTTCTTGAATGAATGAAGGTATTGTTACTCTTGTTATTAATATATTAAATTGTCTGTGGTAGGCTAAGGGTAAAATGTGGGTTTCAAAACAGTAGGTCGTGATTCTCCTTTTTCTAAAATTTCATTTCCAAAAGCATACACACACATGCAAAATTATACTTACCCAAATCTATATGTAAGTCTACAAGGGGATACATCAAAAAGTTGAGTCTCTTGTTTAGAGTTAAGATGCATGTATTTAAAATCAGAAATAATCTATAAAACAATTTCTATTTTGAACAAAACAGTGTTTAAAAACTCTTTTTTTTTTTAACAAAGAGAGCAACCAACAGGAAAAAGAGAGAGCTTATTGTACCTAGAACTTGGGCTTACAACATGAACCTCATATTTCACTTCATTTCCAAATTTTTTAATGCCAAGGAGGTATTGAGCTGACCCAAGACAGCATATGTGTTTGTCCCAAGAGACACAGTCTCTCCTAGTGTTTGGCTCTGGGAGGAATAAAGCACAGGAGGAATCTCGAGGTAAGGGGCATTGTGTATCTTTTTTTTTTTGTTGCGATACGCGGGCCTCTCACTGTTGTGGCCTCTCCCGTTGTGGAGCACAGGCTCCGGACGCGCAGGCTCAGCGGCCATGGCTCACGGGCCCAGCCGCTCCGCGGCATGTGGGATCTTCCCGGACCGGGGCACGAACCCGTGTCCCCTGCATCGGCAGGTGGACTCTCAACCACTGCGCCACCAGGGAAGCCCCCATCGTGTATCTTGGTGAATAACGTCCTCGCCAGTGACACCGACACATTCTTCAGTGGCTGCTTATCCCAGTCACCCTCTATAAAAACCGAGGGAGAATATCATATCACAACTCAGCAAAGATATTTTTGCATGCAGCAAAACTAAAGTAACTTGGGTACATTGCCTAATACATGGCACTCTCAGACGCTCCTACGTTGCTAACAGCAGCATCGTGCCAGGCTGCGCTCCAAGCACTTTATATACATTAACTGCTTTAATCCTCATAGTAACCCTATGAGATAGATACTGTTATACAGCTAGCATCATCCCCATCTTACTGAAAACGTTCAGCAACACGCCTAGGCTTGCACAGCTAGCAAATAGTAAAGCTGTGGTTTGAACCTAGGTGGGCTGGCTCTAGCATCCTGCATTCTTCACCACTAAGCAATACCAGCCCCTGAACTAGGGGCTTCTGGGGCAGTTATGCATCTCTTTCGACTCACGGTGATTTCTGCGTTTCCTGTCCACCTGGATATTTTGACGCTCCACTGCTTTCATCGTTCGAGCCAGCTATGTCCCATACGGTCCTGTTCTTTATTGAGGCGTGGCTGAACATAGCTGGTCCACTAGGATGAGATGGTAGGAGTGTGGGTTTGGGGGACAGACTGCCTAGTGTTTGAACCCCAGTTCTAATACTTTTAGCTGCGTAACAAGTTATTTAACTGCTCTGCGCCTCAGTTTCCCCATCTAGGAAATGGGAGAACTTACACCTACCTCTTGTGGGGGCTGTGGAGATTAACTGAGGTCACCAGTATGAACGTACTTGTTCTGATGCCCGGCTCTATTGAGCAGGCATGTGATGAGGACGAGTTCTTCTCTGGGAGCCAAGTTCAGCAGCCATTCACTTACTCAGCTTCCTCTTCCATGGGGAATAAACTTAATACCTAGTTCATAGAGTAGTTCTGGTGACTTAACACAATAATGTACGTAGAATGCTTAGCAGGGTACCTGCTACATCCTCCATACTTAACAGCCATTAGGTACCCTCATCGTGATCATTGTGGTGCTGGCATAACAAGGTCGGTGAGAGAAGGGGCTCTCCAGAGTCACCTCACCTGGATTCTGGGGCAAAATTTCTTCACCTTTCTAAGCCTCGGTTTCCTGGTCTGAGAAATGGGATAATAATAGTACCAAATGTGACAGTGTGTGTAATGCTTTGGCACGCTGCCCTGCAATGAAGCCCTCAGCTACCACACTTGCTAATGTGTTTACCCAGTGCCTACTTGGTCCTAAGTACCCGTTCCTCTGGGGCAGGAGTTGCGCTGATTCTCCATCTGAGGGTCCTTGGCTTGTAGACCGCTTGGCCCGTGCCTGTCACACGCTCCACAGTAACCGGCTGTCCCCAGGAAAGCTAGCCGGGGCCCTGGCCGATTCTGGCTTGAAGCTCAGGAACGAGCACGTCCTGATGATCCTGTGCTTGGCAGACGCTGCTGGAAAGCGGAGGCCTACCTTCAGGGCCGGGCCCTGGCCGAGGTCCAGAGGAAGCCCTTGGTCTTGCCGGCGCCCCGAGTGCGCATCGGCTTTGGGGCTGAACAGAGCTTCCTTTGTGCAGTGACAGTGGCAGGTAGCTATTTCTGGGCGCCAAGTTCCTCACCAAAGGGCAGCCGTTGACTTAGTAACTGGGGAACTGCCGGGCTGAGCCAGCTGGGCTCAGGGGCTGTTACTGCACCGAGGGGGGGACCCCAGGACCTCACAGCTGGGGCCCCTCCACCCCAGGATGTCCGGTCCCCACACAAAGCCTGAGGAGAGATGAACCAGAAGCAGCACAGGACCAGGTGACAGATGTTATCCCCACAGTGGGCTTTGGAAACTTCGAGGAGGGGAGGGTTCTCAGAAACCCCAGAGTCCTCAAGCCAGCAAGTCTCAAGTTCATCAAGTCCTCACAGCAACTCCGCCAGGCAGGGCTTTTTTTTTTTTTAATTAATTTATTTATTTATTTATTTATTCATCCCACAAGCCGCTCAGCTTGTGGGATTTTAGTTCCCCTACCAAGGATTGAACCTGGGCCCTTGGCAGTGAGAGCTAGGAGTCCTAACCGCTGGACCACCAGGGAAGCCCCCAGGCAGGGATTATTATCTCACCTTAGACGATGAAGAGATGATTCTCAGAGAGGTTGAAGTTGAGTGGTCCAAGGGTACCCAGCTGACTCCAAAGCCCTCCCTCCTGCCTTGCCTGGTGGTGTTGAAAGAAGAGGAAGACGAAGAGAGCCGGAGTCACTATTTCATCCTACTGAACGTTCAGTGAGCATTTACTATGTGACAGGTGCTGAGCCAAGCAATGTACGTGCATTGTCTCATTCAGTCTCAACATTGCCGCTCTGAGGTGGGTACATTATCATGCCTCGAACAGAGGAGAAAACTGAGGCCCATGGAGGTTATTTGTCCCAGGGCACACCACTAGTAAGTGGCAGAATCAGAATCTGGAACCAAATTTCTCGGGCCCCCAAAGCCAGGATCTTTCCTTTCCATTTTCCATTACTCTTCCACATGCTGTAGAACCTGGAAGAATGCATTTCAGAGTCAGGGGTGGTGGCTGCAGTGGTTGAGGAAGTGGTGGGGTGGAGAGTGCTGGGGAAGAGGGGGAGGAACAAAGACCGGAGGAGGCAGGGTAAATGGGGGGTTATTACTGTATACTGATTGAAGCAGGTTGGTAACATTGTGAGTCTCTCTAAAACCCATTTTAGTAACGTATAATACACTTACATACAGAAAAGAGTAATGTACATTATAGAGAAGTGTAGCGATCATGAATTTTCACAGACTGAACACTCCCATCAGCACCTAGATGAAGAAGCAGATTTCCAGTGACCCAGACCCCTCATGCCCCTGTCCTGACCACATCTAACCTCATCAATTGATCATATCTATTTTGTTCTTTTGCTAAATGAAAGCACACGCCATGGATTCTTTTGTGCCTGGCTTCTTTCATGCAACACTATGTCTCCGTATAGCAAGTGTGTTCTTCAATGTTTTATTTTAAACATTTTCAAACACACAGCAAAATTAAAAGAATTTTACAGTGACTCCCACAAATCTGCCACCTCTATTCTGCTATGAACCTTTTAGTGCACTAGCTTTCCTTACATATAAAGCTATCCCTCTATCCATTCATTAACATGTCTATTTTATTATGCATTTCAAACAAAGTTGCAGAATTCAGTTTCCTTCCTCTAAATACTTCAGCATGCCTGTCATTAAAGAGTTTAATGTTTGTTCACAATGTTTGTCCTGTTGATACAAAATTTATATATAATGAAATGCACAAATCTTAAGTGTGCAGTTATTGAGATTTGATAAACATATACACATGTGGAACCCCCAACCCTATCAAGATATAGAACATTCCCATCACCCCAGAAAGTTCTCTCCTGCCCTATCCAAGTCAATACTCATGCTTACCACCTCCCACTCCCCCACCCCACACCTCTAGGCAACCACTCTTCTGATATTTTTCTACAATAGATTATTTTGCCTATTCTAGAAGTTCATATAAATGGAATCATACAGTATATACTCTTTTGCGTAAGGCTGCTTTCACTCAGCTTAATGTTCTTGAGATTCATCTATACTGTTATACATATCAGTAACTTGTTCCTTTTCATTGGGTAGTATTCTACTGTAGGAATGTACCACAGTTTGTTTGCCCATTCTCCCACTGATGGATACGTGGGCTGTTCCCAGCTTGGAGCTATTGTGAAGAAGATGCTATGAACACTCTTGTACAAGCTCGTTTGGAAATATATGCTTTTATTTCTCTTGAATAAATACTTAGGACTGCGCTTTGTTATTATAAAAAACTGACATCCTTTTCCAAAGTGATTGATCATTTTCTGTTACCACCAAAAATGAATGAGAGTTCCAGTTGCTCCACTATCTTGTCAACATTTGGTATTGTCAGTCTCTTGAATGTTTCAGATAAGTATGTACTAATATCTCATTGTGGTTTTAGTTTATATTTCCATGAAAAGGTGGATATAGCTCCATGTCAAGGGTCACAGCTTAGCGAGCAGAGTACATGCTCTCTTGCGCAGACCACATCCTGTCCAACTGTACATGGCATCCCTGCTTCCCATCTTCCTGTCTAGTGGGCACAGTGAATAAGAGCCAGCCCTTGAGGTACCATCTTTATTTTAAAGAAAAATAGCATTTATAGTGGTTGAGAATGGCCTCTGCAGTCAGACTATCTGGATTCAGATCCCAGCCCCACCACATAACAGCTGGGTGGTGATGAACAAATTACTTAACATTTCTAACTTGTTCTCTCAAATCTACTCATAGGTTTGTTGTGAAGATTAAGGAGATAATACACATAATATGCTTAGCACAGTGCCTGGCACACAGTAAACACTAGTAAATGTTAGCTGTTTTGTTATTGTTGTATCTGACTAGAAAAGTTATATATGATTATTGTAGAAAACTTAGAAAGTAAATAAAAGTAGAAAGAAGTTTAGAGTCATCCTAACCCCACTACTCAAAAATAACTGTTATTAACACTTGGTGCTTTTTTTTTTTTTTTTATTTCCTACGTAAAATTTTTTAAAAAACACAGTTGACATCCTACTCTATATATAGTTTCATTTCCTCTTTCCTATATTTAACTCGACATCATTAACATCTTGCCATGTCATTGCATATTCTTTGAATATTCTACACTTAAAGGGTGTGTAATGTTCCAGCAACAGATGTACCACATTCAGAATGTGTCCTACGTGTGTAAGGTGATAAGGCAGTTAGTTCAGGATCAATGACTCTAGAGACAGTCTTGACTACACGGGATATTTCCTTAAGAAATTTTTAAAGCCATTAACAAACATTGCCAAATTGGAGCACCATGTTAAAAACATGTTTTCACTTTTCCCTGAACATAAATGTATGAGGCAATAAAAAACGAAAAAAAAATGTTGTAAAGAAAAAAAGTGAGACAATATACGAATGTGAAAAAATATTCTACAATATAGAAAGTAAAAACCTCTCCTCCCTCTCTTTACAATCCCACTAGTAAAGGGCAATCACTTTGACATACATGCTTCCAGACCTTTTTTCCATACATATATAGCCATAGGTATAAGTATACTAACCCAAGGGTATGGGGGTTCTGGAGCCTGCCCAAGCCTGGTTCCATCCTGACTCTGGCATGTGTAACTGTGTGACCTTGGGCAAGTTAACTAGCCTCCCCGGGCCCTGTTTTAAAGGTCTCAGGCTATTGTTTCTGTAGGGATTTTCAAACATCTCCAAGGCCCTCAACCTCCTCAACCCTGGATAGCAGAAGGAGAGTGGATGAGCGCCCATTCTTGAAGCTGGGAGTCACCTGAGCCCCTTGGGCCAGACTTCCCTGCTGAACTGCTTCCCCAGACTCCCCACACCACAGGCAAATTTGGGGCCCCCCAGAACTGCAGCAGCTAGAATGGATTCACCTGGACAAATGGGAAATAGCACAAGTTTCCTATGCAGATGGGTGGCCCAGTGCTCACTCAGGAGGGTGTGGTTACCTGGGAATAGGTGGGTGTCTGGGCCTCACGTACCACTTAGAGGCCCAATCAAAGTCACCCTGTCCCTGTCGCGGGGGTGGGAGGGATACCACCACTTAGAGCTTCCTCAAAAACAACATCACCCTCTCCAGCCCAGGGAGTCAAGCTGTGGTTGTCACTGTGGCACAGGGGACAGCTCACCGGACTTCTTTTTTTAATTTAATTTTTACTTTATATTGGAGCGTAGTTTATTTACAATGTTGTGTTAGTTTCAGGTGTACAGCAAAGTGATTCAGTTACACATGAATATATATCCACTCTTTTTCAGATTCTTTTCCCATGTAGGTTGTTACAGAATGTTGAGTAGAGTTCCCTGTGCTATACAGTAGGTCCTGTTGATTATCTCTTTTATATATAGTAGTGTGTATCTGTTAATCCCAAATTCCTGATTTATCCTGGACTTTTAAATAAATGTGGAGCAGGTCACAGTGAGCAGCCCTCACCTCGCTTAGGTCTTCACCAGGAATCGCCAAATGCCACCTTCAGTTTACTCGCCCAGGATCCCAGTCACATGGGTGTTTTCATCACCTCTCCAAGCTGACCTTATTCAACAACACAGGGAAAATCAATGGTGTGATTAATTATAAATCAGTGGTGTGATGAATTGAACTAAAACCACAAGACACGCCCTGTTTTGTCTGGAGACTCTGCAGAGCTGCCTCCTCCAGGGGGAGGGAACTGGGCCACTTGTTTGGCTTATTTACTTACGTGCGTGCATCTGGCCTACTACATCGCATAGTGATTCATTTCAGGACAGGTCCATGCACCCAAGGTGGAACCAGGCTGGGAAAGGATGCTGGAATCCGGGAATCAGCTTCCCTGTGACCTCAGCAGCAGAATTCTCCTGTTTTCAGTTCACCCGCTCTCT